TTACATACCAAATATGGCAAGTTTAGTTACAATTAAGGATAATACTGTTAATGTTAGCGAAGCTCTCCAAAAACACTCTATTAGATATTTTAGATCAGTTATCTCTTTTATTATGTAATAATTCTAAGAGATAGGAGCTATTTCTCACTAAGCTTTATAGACCCTAAGACTGAGGTAGGGGAGTATTAAGGCTCTACTGCAGGTGGCACTTACTTTGGACAAAGTGGGGAGTCAGGACAATAGCCTGGTCTTAAGAGCTCATATTCCTCATTGCTACACTACACTGCTCTAACAATGAATTTGGAAACCTCTTCCATGTCTTGAACTGTCAATGTCCAGAGAGTAGAAGCAGGGATATCACATCACTCCATTCTTTTGGAGCTCATAGTCACAAACGTAACCAGATATGCAACCACGTAATTCAAACATTGCGATGTGTATGACAGTCAATGTACATACCAATGTCCACAGGAGGCCAGAAGAGGGAGCAGTGCATTTGCCTGGTGAAACTAGAGAAGGCATTCCAGAGGAAGTAATATATGTGCTGGATCTTAAAGGACTGACAGAAAGTGTCAGGGTAAAGTTGTTGGGAGAGCCCCAGCAGAGGAGTAAACAGAGTATGGGAAGACCTGCAGATGTAAACTTCAGAAAAGTATTTTACTTGAACAGGAAATTGAGTTGCTTCATATTTTCCTATCTACTTGGTAGCCTGAAGTTTAATACCAGCTTCCTTATAGAGTTCTAATTCCTTTTTCTATTTAAAAACACCGGCACTGCCAGAAATTGGTGGACAAGCATTTAGCTTTAAAGAAGCATACATAATTATTAGCTGTTAGAGGCCATTGATTTAGAATTTCTTGTGCATCAAATTAAGGTGATATGCATCTAATGAAATAAATGACCTGATTTTCTTATCATGTTTAAATCTTACGATTTTGCAATGGAGAGCAAATACTACATTCGGAGAGGAGGGAAATCGGCAGAAATAGAAACCTTGACAACGCTATGAAATGATTGAATCTTAACTTTATGAGGACAGGAATTTTGTCGGTTGTGTTCACTGCTACATCCATGGTACTAGAATATTCCTGGCAATTCGTGGGAGCATAACAAATATTTGTTGAATGTTTTTGAAGGTGAAATAACAACATGGTATGAAGAAAACATATAGAAACAACTAACATAAAAGCATAGCCATTGGTCACATTTAGAACAAAATTGTTGGTGACAGAAATACACTTCTGTACCTATGTGTATGACAACAATGTATAACCTGTGGTGGTTTGAATGAAGATCCTAAAAAGAAAAGTTTAAATCATAACAAATAATAAAATGTGGAGAATTTTTGGGGTCCTTGGATGGCTAGTTGGTCAAGTGTCTGACTCTTGGTTCCACTCAGGTCATGATCTCACGGTTCGTGAATTTGAGTTTGAGCCCCACCTTGGGCTCTGTGGAGATAGCTTAGAGACTGCTTGGGACTTTTTTTTTTCGTCCCTCTCTCTCTGCCCCTCACCTGGTTGTGCATGCAGTAGATAGATAGATAGATAGATAATCTTTCTTAAAATGTGGAAAATTTTTACCTTTTAGAAAAAATTCAAATGACTAGAATAAAAAGTCAGTGTACAAAGCAATAAACTTCTCTTTTTGGGACGTTTTCCTTTGTTAGGTACATTCCAACAATGTTAATAAACCAAGTGTTACTGTATTTTTATATCTTTATTTAAACACACAGTAACTACTACAATGATATTTTGTCTTAAATATTCAGGCAAATTTGAAGTTGACTGTTCCATTGAAAACAACTTATCCAAGAGTGAAAAGTAATTAAAATCACAGTATATTGAGATTCCCCCCCCCCAGGTTTACTTTCATAGTTTTCATTATCATTTGGTTTTGTCATTTAAAGAGAATCAAAATACTGACTACTTTGATTCATTTTGAACTATTAAATATGAAAACTTTCTCTTTTTTTCCAGCATTTGGAACATAGCTAATTCAACAAATTATGTGCCAGCTTATGTTGTAAATCAAAATTATCCTGTTGGTCACTGTTCATGATCGAAGGCATGAACTATGCCTTCCAATATTGAACATGGCTCCTGATAACACTCTTTTTTATCTTTTTAAAAAGAGAATAAGAGGGGCGCCTGGGTGGCTTCGTCGGTTAAGCGTCCGGCTTTCGCTTAGGTCATGATCTCGCGGTTCGTGGGTTCGAGTCCCGCGTCGGGCTCTGTGCTGACTGCCAGCTCAGAGCCTGGAGCCTGTTTCAGAGTCTGTGACTCCCTCTCTCTCTGACCCTCCCCTGCTCATGCTGTCTTTCTCTCTCTCTCCTAGAAATTAATAAAAAACATTAAAAAAAAAAAGAGAATAAGAATGATTTTATACTTTCTTTTGATTTACATATATTTTATTTTTTGGTCTCATTCTAATGTACTCACTAGACCCTCCATAACAATCTTGAGCAGGGATGGGATTTGTCTCATTCTAATTTTAAATACAGTGAATCTGACATGTCATTGTTATGTTCTATAGAGACTTTTTATTGGTAACTTTCATAAACTTAATGAAGTTTTTTTTCTTTTCTACTTTACAAGGACTTTTCAAAAATTGATGAACTTTTAATTTTAGAATATACTTAAATTTATAGAAAAATGTTAAAATAATACATCTATCCCACATCCATTCTCCCTTGTTATTAACATTTTTCATTAGTATGGTACATTTGTCACATGAAATTACTATACCAGCACTGATAGATTATTATTAAGTAAGCCATACTTTATTCAGATTTCCTTAACTTTCATCTCACACATTTTTTCTGTGTCAGAATCCCATTCAAGATCCCATGTTATATTCATCATCATGTTGTCTTCAGCAATGCTTGGCTGTGATAGTTTTCCAAACCTTTTCTATGATCTTGATAGGTTGTGTGTGTGTGTGTGTGTGTGTGTGTGTGTGTGTGGTGGGGAGGGAAAGTAATGGTCAGTATTTTGTGGATTTCCTCTACTGGTGTTTTTATGTTAGTGTTCTCTTGTGATTAGATTGGGATTGTGAGTTTTGGGGAGGATTCCACAGAGAAAAAGTACGGTGTGATGACACCATATCAAGGTTCCATACTATCAACATGGCATATCACAGCATTAATCTTGATATCATAGTGAAGGTTTGTAAGGTTTCTGAACTATGATGTTCTTTTTCTCTCTTACTATGCTCTTTGAAAGGAAGGAATGTTATTCTTTTTCTCACTATGTTCTCTGTACAGGCCACACTGCTGGAGTGGGGAGTTGTGTTCTACCTCCACAAGGGTGAAGTATCTACATAAACTGTTTGGAATTCTACATGGGATGTTTGCCTATTATCTCTCATATATTTATTCATTCAATCATTTATCAGTATCACTATAGAATTATGGATATTTATTTTATATTTGCATCAGAATCCAATACTACTTTATTTTGCTGCTCAAAGTGTTCCAGCTTTGGCCATTGAGAACTGTTTCATTTGGCTCTTGTGTCCCTTTGACATATACCATTATTGTGGTTTTGTTTGACTACTTCCTAGTTTTCTAGCACCATACAGTGCTCCGGATTCATCTTGTATATTTTCTTCCTCATTCCTAGATTCACCCATTTCTCCTCCAATGATTCTTGGTTCTATTTATTAGAAAACAATATTAGAAACAGAGAGAGAACCTGCCCCCACCATCTACCATCCATTTATTTAATTATTCACTTCCGATCTACATTATAGTGGCTTCTGAATTGATAAACCAAACACTCACGGGAAACAGTCTGATGTGCTATGTGCAGTCCTTTTGTCTTTAGTTTTCTAGGCTCCACAGATTTCCAAAGTCACTTAGGTCAGCAACTTTCTTCCTTATGCCCTTCAGGAAGGTTAATTAATGCATTCATAATAAAAGTTATTCTGTTACATTCTGCATTCTGTCCTGGGACCCCCTGACATCCTAAATTACTTTTTTCAAAATTTTATACATGAAATTTCACTCTGTCCTGCTGGTGTTATATAGCCATCATTACAGTATCATATGTAATAGTTTCACCAACTGAAAAATTATCTTTACCTATTCAACCTCTATTCTTGCTATCATCCCTGATAATGTATTTTAAAAATATAAATTTATACAGCAATGACTAAATATGCTAGCCTAGGAAGCACTATTGGCTGTTTTCTTTATTCTCTTTGATTTCTTTTTATTTAATCAATCATGAGTCTCCTTATACTCTTTAAAAAAATGTTCGGAGATTTGACATTTCTGAGTCCATAAAATTTTCTCTACTTTTATTGGGATGGGTCAGTAACCACATATTTTGTCTAGACACACCCTATTTTCTGTCCAAAACAACCTTGGGACAATCAATCACTACGGAGAAATTTGGTCTTTGGTGATACAAATAATACTTTTCATATTACCCGTTCACATTAAATCAACTGTGGCATCACCATAAAAGTTTTTTCACTTATGTGTGCCTAATTTTAATTATCATAGCCAGCTATGGATCTGGTACCCTCAATAAAACTTGAACTATACCATGTGTACCATGTGATAAACAGTCTCTTCATTATGTCATGAAATTTTGGTTTTCATAAAAAGTTTCAGCTGTGGCATATACACATAGTAGATATGTATTTTGGATGCCTCTCCAACATCCTTTTTACTGTACTTGTTCTTAGTAGCAGCCATGTAATTTGGTAGCAATTGTTCTCATCCCAAACACTAGTGGTGAATCTTGACTATCTTATTCTAAGGGAGTAGTGCAAGTAACAAAGACTTCATCCAACCAGCACATGATACTCCCTTGGCCATAGGAATCAGCATAGTGGTAGTCTAATCACTGCAACACCCAGGGATTTTTTAAGATTATTATGGGATGATATCCCTGCTCTCCTTTTCCTTGATGCAAATGAGGAATTATGATACCAGTTATTCATGACATCATATTGTGACCCCAGGAGAAGCTGATCTAAAACCAAGGCTCATGTATGGAGGCAGAAGTGAGAAATATCAGAGATGTGGACCTAGAATCTTTATCTCATACCATATGACACCTATCAGGACTTTTTGTTAATGTGCTACATTAATCCTCTTATTAGATTAAGGTACTTTGAATTGCATTTTCTATTATCAGCAATTCAAAGTGCTCAAACAGATGAATATAATAAGGGAATAAGGAAGCTTTAGCCTGTTTAAAATTCACTGAATTAATTCCAGTATATCTACTTTGACCTTGCTTTGTCAGTTCTTCTCTTTTTCACTTTTCCTGATCACATATTTTATAGATTACTTTTATCTGTTGCATCTAGACAATCTGCTTAATATGTGAAATAAATTATTTTAAAGAATTAAAATTTTCCGGGGCGCCTGGGTGGCTTAGTCGGTTAAGCGTCCGGCTTTCACTTAGGTCATGATCTCACGGTTCGTGGGTTCGAGTCCCGCGTCGGGCTCTGTGCTGACTGCCAGCTCAGAGCCTGGAGCCTGTTTCAGTCTGTGACTCCCTCTCTCTGGCCCTCCCCTGCTCGCGCTGTCTCTCTCTCTCTCTCCTAGAAATAAATAAAACATTAAAAAAAAAAGAATTAAAATTTTCCAAGGGCTCTACAGCATGGAGCTGAGGCAGAAAATGAGATAAATACAAATAAAATAAAAGATATACAATGATATGCTTCTATAATTCTTCTGATTAATCTTTGTTATAATGATTTTATATCTCCTGGACATGAAAATATTATACAAATGCCAGACTAGCTATTTTCTACCTTGCATCTAATATAATAATTCAGAACTTCAGATATTTTATATGTACTTTTAGCTGAAAAATATAGATGGGTATAGTTTAATTATATACTATTATGTCTAAACTACAATTAAGTTATTCATGAATATTTGGTCTTGGTCTGTTTTGTAAGTACATAAATCCTTACCCTCCTCCTTCTCCAAAATACTTCATAGTAAACGATTATTAATTAAAAACTTACTATGTGTTAGAGATCTTCTTATGGTTTCAATCCTTCTGATTCTGTTAATAGGTAGATATACCAACCCATTTTGGAGATTAGACAATAGAGATTCAGATAGACCTGGTCTCATACCCAATATTACAGTTACTAGGTAGCTTAAGTACAAGTACTAAATATTACACAGTTACCTAGGCCTGTGTAACTCTAGAGTCACTTACTTTACTCATTGCATTTTCAGGTTCCATAATTCTCCACCCTCTGTCTTTTTCTCTCATTGCTTGCCTACTTGTGTGTAAAAAGAATTTTAATCTTTCCAGAACAGTTTTTGTGAGCAAACTAGAGAGGAAAGTGGGACAGAAGGAAGGCAAAATAAAGTTTTCCCATGGCCAGGGTCACTGCTGGAATAGATCAAATTAATACAATAAATTCTAAAGAGTAAGCACATGTGGATAGCAGAATGGACATGTTGAAAGTGACTTCCTTAATGTTCTATAGTGAAAACATGGATTATAGATGAATCCCCATGTTTTTCAGGGACTCTGATAGTGTGGATCCTACTTATAGAGACATGGTTATAAAAGAAATCCACATGTTCTTTTGAGACTCTAATTTATTTGCATATTTCTTTCCCTCTGTAGTTGGGTTAAGGGGGGAGGTAGGTGGCATGTCTTTTTTAGTCTTCCATGACATAGCCCATGTGGAACTGCTTTTGTTTGGCAGTTCTTTTGATGCCAAATTGGTAATGATTAATCCCTTTTAAATTAGATGTATTATTGCATCTTGCTTGCAAAGGCTTTTATTTTAACTTAAATTTTTTTTCACTTAAAATTTTTTAGTGATTTAAAACTTATAAGAAAGATTCATGGAACACTGAAATTTTGACAAATATTTTAGAGCAAAAATTCAGAAAGTAAAATAATTCTTTCGGTTCTGCTGAGACCAGCGAACAATTACACTGAAATGCTCACAATGAATATAATACATATATTGATTATCTGACCTAGCTTAATGACTCTTGTGAAGGCATCATAGTAAAATTTTACATGGGTCAGAAACACTTTGAGTTATGTCGTAAGACATGGGAACAATTCAGCTATATCTGAAAAATGGAATATACTAAAGAATTGATTCAATTATATAAAATTTTTAGACTCAGTAATTCTTTATATCTTTAGAGTGCACTGATTAGTAAGGACTAATGCGTACACTTTCCTGTAGCCAGATGAGAAGAAAAGTCTGGTTATTTGAAATGTTTCTGTTTCTGTAAATCAAATAAAATTGTAAGTTTGATCACTCTAAACATTTAAATCGAAATAATAATAACAAATTGTATTAGGTATTTAGAGAAAATAATTTCCTCCCTCATATAAACTATTTTTTGTCATTGATTCAATTAAGTGAAAAAAATGGGAAAATCTCACTTTCAATCTAATAGGTAGATCTGAGATTTTAAAATGGAAAAGGCTTCAGAGCAACAGTATCGTGGGATATAGTGTGTTGAATTTGGGATCACTGGGAAGGAGAGTTTTTGAAGATGCCCCTGTGTTTTGCAAGCCTACTTTTTTTCCCCCTTGTAGTTCGTGTTTATGGTGTGTTGTTCAAGTTCCTCAGGTAAATCATTTCTTGCTGAGTTTGTGTTGAACAGCAAAGAGGAAAGAGCTTATTATCATTGTGTCCTTGAGAAACTAATAATGATCATTATTAAGGGTCTCATGACTGTTTGAAAAGTATGGCAACAGCCTACATATTATATAGTCAAGAAGTTGCCAATTAAAATGCATATGATGGCCTCAGTATGTGCTTGGTGGGGTTTTTTGTTGTTGTTGTTGTTATTGAATAAACCTGAATAATAAGGAAAGTAGAAGTTTATTATTCATACAAATATATATATGTATACATATATATAATTTTTCCATGTGTACTGAGAGAGATATTAGGTACTTTTAGTCTCAAGGAGACAGAAAAAAAATAAAATTTTTACAAATTGATAAAGCTCACAAGAATGAAATGCAAGGCTATTTTTTTCCAGATTATTGGGCCACTTCCCTTCTATATAGATTGGTCCTTAGTATTTCTAATAAATTCTGTGTTGGTTTTAAATTAGTTTTAATTCAGAGCCTCTGTATATTTTGCAGCATTGTAATGTATCTGAGAAGACACTAGTACTCAGTTTGTTCTATAAACTAAACATATGATTGTTTAACATTTTTATAAAGCATTTTATTTATGTATATGTTGTATATGTATTTGCAGTTAAATGCTTATACAAAGCTATGTTAATGATTGCTGTAATGGTCCTAGAAGTATCAAAGTGTGGCTCATCATACCCACTTAAAATTATTATACAATTAACTTTTATGACACTGTGCATGTGACAAAATATATTTAAAAATTTTTTTTTATTGTTTATTTATTTTGAGAAAGAGATAGACAGAACGTGAGCAGGCAAGGGGCAGAGAGAGGGGAGTCACAGAATCTAAAGCAGGGCTTGAACTCAAAATCTGTGAGATCATGACCTGAGCTAAAGTCAGATGGCTAACAGACTGAGCCACCCAAGCACCCCAAAATGTCAGTTTTTAAAATTTTTTAATGTTTATTTTTGAGAGACAGAGTACGAGTTGGGGAGGGCAGAGAGAGAGGGAGACACAGAATCCAAATCAGGCTCCAGGCTCTGAACTGTCAGCACAGAGCCCGATGCAAGGGTTGATCTTATGAACTGTGGGTCATGACCTGAACCGAAGTCAGACGCTTAACCGACTGAGCCACCCAGGTGCCCTGGCAAAATGTCATTTTAATGATTAGACATATGTCTTTTATGTTTGTATATTCTATATATAATATAAATTAAATAAAAAATAAACTGAATTTTCAAATTAAACAAAAACAAAAGTATTTGTATCATTAATACCATTTTTGTTCTTTTTGAAGAGTTGAAAAATTCATAGGTTTTATGTTTTTGTGATATGATTTTAATCTAATATGAATACAGAATATATTAGAGTAAAATATAAATCAGAATATTTTTTATTATTCTACAGTTCTTAGATTATTCATTTTTAAAGTATTGAACATAAAAGGAAAGTGGAATGCATAAACTTTCATCTGGTTAATGTCAATGCAAATAGTTAGGTTCAATTATTTAGATGTTTTAAATCTTGATTCTTAATTTTATTTTTTGGAGGTACAGTTAGTGTTTTTTTATACATAGTATATCATGACATTTACATAGCTTAGTATTATATCATAATATGCTATAAATTGCATTACTTTACTTGAACCTTATAATAAACCTAGAATAAGAGCAAGGTAGGTTCTTTCCCCCTTAGTAAATGAAAATCCAGAAACGGAATTTGCTGAAGTTCATGGGGCCATTAAAGAATGGAGACAAGAATAGATACAAGCATTCATGAGAATCTGTATTCTTTCCATTTTAACACATCTGTTACAAAATATGCAATACAAATAGTTAGGGAACATATAAAGAAAATAACTCCTTAAGAATAATAACATATATGGATAAATTTAGCAAGAAATAAGCATGCCTATTTGAAGGAAATGACCCGATTTTACTGAGGGGAGTAAACAAATTTTTGAGTAATGGTGAGAGAGGTTTCTGGAGAGGAAGAAGTCCACTCTCTCCAAGTTAACCTATAAATTTGACACATTTCTAATCAAACTCCCAATGGGACTTTCCTGGAACTTGTCAAGTGATTCTAAAGTTTATCTGGAAAAAAGTTAATGAATAGCCAGAACTTTTATTTTTAAAGAAGAGCAATGTACCCACCAGATTGTAAAATGTACTATTAAACTATAAAAATAATATGCAGTAAGTTTGTGCCAGACTAGACAAAAAGATCTGTGAAACAGAAGACAAATGCAGAAGCAGAACAACTATATATGGAATTTTAGTATATGATAGAAATGACATTTCAAACTAGTGAGGAAAGAATGGATAATTAAATAAATGGTGTTGAAGCCAATTGGAAACAACCTCACACCTTACACCAAACTGAATTCCAGATGAGTAAAATATTTATATGGAAAAGCTGAACTTATAAATCTACTGGAGCAAAATATAACTGAATATTTATATGCTCAGAGATTTTCTA